AGTTCCTATTACAGAGAAATCCCGCAAATACTGTCACTCCGTTAAAATCCAGACTCGGCACCTTAACCGCGCGTTCGGTCTATCCCGCATCGCCAGTTCTTAGCCGTAGTTTGTCCGGATGTGACGCAGACTACGTTATAACAGCCAGATTTTAATGTCCCGGAGAAAGAAGCACTCATACTTTCTCAGCCTGTCCATACGACCACTTTTACGGTTTCCCTTTGGTGGCTGGAATAACGGACATTCATCTGTATTTTTCGTAGTTTCTGTTGTTGTTTTATTATTTTTTTAATGTGATCGTTTTGTTCATCAGGCGAGGCGTATAACAAGGCTGGCATGCAAGAACAAGCCGAAAAATGGTACAAAATGTCAATACAAAGTAAACCCGATCACGTGCCTGCGCATTTAACTCTTGCTAAGCATTATGGGAAAACGGTGAGTTCATTACGGTACAAACATTGGTACATGAGAACGAGGTTTGAAGGACATTGCCTTATTGCTTGTAAATATGAAAATGCACACATTTTTTTAGTTTTTCGTGTTCAACATTGACCCCTGGACCTTTTACGTCACTGATTGACTTTCAATGCATTGTGGGCTCGGTTTCTAGAGCAATCAAAAGAAATCCGCCATGTTCTGTTCCCAAACATGTCCTACAATGCATTGCGTATACGGTACATGACGTAAAAGCTTCATGGAACTATTGATTGCATGGCAAGAGAAAGCATGGCAAAAGCGGCATACCCGCTAAGTTTGAGCGGATTAAAAAATCTCTATAAATAGAGGATATTAATTTTATCTTCGAGTGTATAACAGATCTTATTAGAGATTTTTTCAACACGAGAAGATAAAATTCGCATCTCCAAGCGACCATGTAATATTCTGTTTATCGTAAAATAATCTATGAAAACGAAATTGTTTTATGATCATTTTATTCACCTCCAATAAATACTATTAATAAATAATGTGGTCTTATTATGATTCTGTTTTATGTTTTATTTCTGTACTTGATTTTTCTCTGTGTATTTTTGTGTACTCTTTGTTTGAGTGTTTAATAATAATAATAATAATAAAAATAATGTGGTATTTCGTGTGCCATTATAGATTTTAAAAAAAGTCGAATATCTACATCAATAATTTTAAGACACTTTTTCTTCAGAATCGTGTACAGGAAGCATTAAATCTATTCAGAAGGGCACAACAACTCCAACCAAGCGACTATTCTGTATGGACGCACTTTGGTCAGTTCTTGTACGAGCGAAGGAATATCGCCAGTGCTGCAGAAATGTTCGTTAAGGCTAGTTATCTTAAACGCGATGATTTTGATATAGTTTTTACAGCTGCGAATTACCTAAGGTTAGTATGGAGTAATGATGATAATAGATTATTACTAGCTTATTTATGTATTATTATTATACATTATTTGGTATTTAACGCGTTCTTGGATTGGTCGAGAACAGTGTTTCCTTAGAGTACACAGCTGGGCAAGGATGACGTCATTTATTCTTACGTGAGCTGTGATTGGTCAGAACCATTGCTCGCGCATTATTGTGTTCATAAAATTTACCGCTCTTAAAAATAGAAGAAAATGTTATATAAAACAACCAGATTCCATTTTTCGGTGCGTCTTTACTCTAATAGATAAATAGGCTACTGGAACATTTGATGAGCACAACAGCTGCGACACTCGAACTCTTGTATCTATTATTGTACAAACGTATTTAGCGTTAATTAACAAATACATATTTTTTTCTGTACGTTTGTAAGATACAAGAGCTCGAGTGGCGTAACCTTTCCATCTTTAATCTTTTCAATTCTTAGATAATTTGAATGCTTGAGATAAAAGGGCTCGCGCTGTAATAATTGAGTTTCGCGATCTCTTTTACGCTGTGCTAGCCTCAATTATGTGCTAAAATATTCAGAAATGTAGATAAAACTCGTGAGATTTAACACAGCGTAAAGAGATCGCTAAAAGGGTTTACTGGCGGATGACCCAGTTGCTTATGTTGAATTCAGATCTGGTTACTATATTGTGCTATTTTCCCGCGGAATCAATTCGTGTTCTCTGACCGATCTATAAAGTTGTTTTCTAAAAGGTGTCAAGTGCACTTTAAGCATGCTGAAACTACAGCTCATTTATCAATTTCTATTTTTAGGGAGGCTGGAAAAAAAGAAAAGTCGAGAGAATATTTCACAAAAGCTGCGAGGATCGATCCACAGGTAAAGATCCTACTGAGGATTTGCGAAAAAAATAAAATAAAAAAAAAACAACTTGTGAGCTTATTCGTGATATACGATTAGAGCAAACGCAGGAAAACCATGAAATAAAATCAAACTAAATACTAACAATTAGCGGCTATTTAGAGACAAAATGTCGTCAGTATCAATGAACCAGAACGCAATAAAGATGAATGGAAAATGGTCCCATGTGGATTCATCTTCATTGTGTTCGGGTTCATTGATACTGACAAATTGTCTCTAAATAG